AATTACTTGTGTACATTAGAATCACTTGTGTACATTAGAATCACTTGTGTACATTAGAATCACTTGTGTACATTAGAATCACTTGCACACATTAGAATCACTTCTGTGCATTAGAATCACTTGTGTACATTAGAATCACTTCTGTACATTAGAATCACTTGCACACATTAGAATTACTTGTGTACATTAGAATCACTTGTGTACATTAGAATTACTTGTGTACATTATAATTACTTGTGTACATTAGAATCACTTGTGTACATTAGAATCACTTGTGTACATTAGAATCGCTTGTGTACATTAGAATCACTTCTGTGCATTAGAATTACTTGTGTACATTAGAATCACTTGTGTACATTAGAATCACTTGTGTACATTAGAATCACTTGTATACATTAGAATTACTTGTGTACATTAGAATCACTTGTGTACATTAGAATTACTTGTGTACATTGGAATCACTTGTGTACATTAGAAATACTTGTGTACATTAGAATCACTTGTGTACATTAGAATCACTTGTGTACATTAGAATCACTTCTGTGCATTAGAATTACTTGTGTACATTAGAATCACTTGTGTACATTAGAATCACTTGCACACATTAGAATTACTTGTGTACATTAGAATTACTTGTGTACATTAGAATCACTTGTGTACATTATAATTACTTGTGTACATTAGAATTACTTGTACACATTAGAATTACTTGTGTACATTAGAATTACTTGTGTACATTAGAATTTTCAGTATGTTCAGTTGAAACACTCCTGCTAATGTGTTCTCATTTGTTTGTCGTCCATATGTTCAGTTAAAACACTCCTGCTAATGTGTTCTCAATTGTTTGTCGTCCATATGTTCAGTTGAAACACTCCTGCTAATGTGTTCTCATTTGTTTGTCGTCCATATGTCCATTTTAGGAACCAAATTGATCCGACCAATCCTCGTTTTTTCTTTCTAAGGCATAACCAAGGTTCGAACCAATGATTATTGATTACTGTTAAGTAAATAATCAATAAATCGTAAGAAATTGTCATATTCCTGACAGGTAGATAACTCTTGAACCAACAGAAGGCATGAAACAGAGCACGTGATCTCTGAAACAGAGAGAGAGAAACCCCTAGCAAGCACGTGTATCTGACAGTGATACATACGGTTGTGTCTTTCCATGTGCTTGTTTTTCTAACATTTCACAAACATCAGAAAATAAAACCAAGAGCCTTATTTAATGTTCTTACTTTTCGATTTTTTGAATGAAACGCTTTTGAAAGTCATACCAATTTACTTATGATTTAAAAGAAACTTTCAAAACCAAATTATTTTTCTAGGACTTTAAAATACTATAAGTCGATTTCTTAAAGGTTTTGTATAATAGAAGTGCTCGTTAATGTACTTCGAAATAACAACCAATGAGGAGTAACATCGTTATAGGTACTTGAATATTATTGGTAGCTTCAATTTTATCTCTTGAAATCGATTGGCTAAATAACCAATCATTTAATGGTTAAAGAATTGATAGGAATGCTAACATATTACAGCTTGATGAATAAGATATACCACTAAAAACCTTGGAAGTTGAAAAGTACTAGCCAAAAGAAAATAATTTAAATACGACGTTCGGATTCTTCAAGATGATGGGAGTTTAACAAAAACTGGATGAATATTGTATTTAAAATCAACATTTCTATTGATCAAAAATAGTCAATATCAATAACGTTCAGCTACCTTGATCAATCTGCTTTAGAAGTGTCTGATTAACTCACCAGGTGTCTTCACAATTAATAATATAAGTATTTGTAGCGTTAACTCAACTGAAAATTATTCTTAAACTTTTTGAAAATGGATTCAGTTTTGGATCCCTCTAAATATTGAGTTGAAATCGCTAGTTCATTTATTATTATAAAGTAATATAATATAACTAATAAGTGTTCAAGCAGTTCCCAAACTCGATTTACACTAAATATTATTACTGAAATATATTTTATAATAATGAAAACTAATTTCCAAAGAAAATTGTGACTAACTTCAGGCCCGGCATTCGCGCAAAGCTACACGAGGGCTATTTGCGCTAGCCGTCCCTAATTTAGCAGTTTAAGACTAGAGGGAAGGCAGCTAGTCATCACCACCTACCGCCAACTCTTGGGCTACTCTTTTACCAACGAATAGTGGGATTGACCGTCACATTATAACGCCCCCACGGCTGAAAGGGCGAGCATGTTTTGGTGGGACGGGGATTCGAACCCGCGACCCTCAGATTGCGAGTCGAGCGCCTTATCCACCTGGCCATGCCGGGCCTCCACCAGAAGGGATATGCTTGACTTGAACCTGGATAAAGGGATTAACTCTGGTTCTCGCAATCAAAGCAGAATGTACGGAGGAAAATCAAAGGTATTATGGCACGAACCTGGAACTCTCCGATTCACAGCTCGACATGTTAACCACCGGACCACTAGGGATATTTTAATAGTTACCTATATTAAAAATGAATATTGATTCACCACTTGTCTATGAGTTATGCCGGCTTATCGTGAGCTATTTTGTTCTTGTCTCTGACTCGCAGTTTGAAAGGTCATGTGAGAAAGGCGCGATACGTCCCGATTGGTTAACAAAAGAAACGTTAATGACAAATATGGTTTGTTTGAACATTATGTAGTTAGACAAATAGTCTCCAGCCGACAAATTTAATTTATCTGTCTTAAACTCTTCTTATACAAGTTAATGTACTTATATGGTTTTAGAGCAAGTTTGTTGTTGTAAAAATGATTTTTGCTGTCTGATTGAGTAAGAAATAATGCAGCGAATAAGATCAGATCGTACTTTTTTTTTATTCCTGTAAACTCTCAGCGGAGCATAGGGCCGCAACAACACCTCGCCAACGACAGGTTTTGTTGCAGTTACTTGTAGCAGGTTGGTTTTTACGGGGTGGAGTTGCTAGCCTCGCGCCCAACCCCCCTCCTTTGTCATCCTGGAGTTGGATGGTTGGCGTGTTTGGTGTGACGGGGATTCGAACCCGCGAACCTCAGATTACGAGTCGAGCGCCCTAACCACCTGGCCATGCCGGGCCCAGATCGTACTTTACTATGTCTTAAACTAAACTATTCCTGAAAACTTTACGTTTCTACTAACGACAAAAGATGAAATGTCTATTTTAACTATGTCAGCTGATGACTTTGTTTCTGTCTTCTACTTACAGGGAAGTTTGGAAGGCCATCTTTCTCGGTCAGATCGTTTCATTTCTCTTGTGTGGTACAGGAGTTTCAAGTCAGTTTCTTCAGTCAGTCTACAAGATTCAAATTCCGACAGGTAGGTGACCCTCACATTCACAAAGTATTGAGCCAATACAAAAATAACAATACTTGAATAACTGTAGACACCTGAATATATTTATATCAGATTTAATATTTTTTGTCTTTAATAGTGTCCACGTTTTATGTTTCTATGGTAATCTGAATAACCAAGTTATTCTTTTAAATAGTCGTATTTTATGTAAGCTTATCGGGTTTCAAATTGTGACGTATAGAGGTCGCTTTTAGCATTGAATGTACTGCAAGAATGGAATTTTAGGTAGTACTTAGTTGTTTTTGTTGATTTCGATATAATTTATCAAGTTCAGTTAAAAACATTTTCAAACTATCCCGCCTTAAATTTAATCGGTTAAGTCATAAGGTAAAACATATGTTATTCCTTCTAATTATATTTAACAAACTAGCTTTAAGACTAATAACCATTAATATGTCTGTTATTAATGTTAGGCCTACTTGGTAATCATACACAATACCTCAAACAGATATCAACGTTTTATTCTTCTTCTTATAACTTTTAAACATCTAAGCATATAAACTATTGGCTAAGAAAATATGATTTTACAAGTTAAAGTTCTGCCAAAATATTTCTAAAATACTATTAATTAAATAGAACATTCTTACTAATATATTTCGTTAAATAATACGTTCTTACTAATATTATTCAGTAAGTAATATATCGTTATCAATATTATCCATTGTCTAGTGATTAATTTCCCCGAAAGGGGCCGAAGGCCGCTTGGAAGGGTCACCTGTTTCAACAACTCTCTCCATTATACAGTGATGTGTTGTCTGTCAGTCAGTCAGTAGACAGTACAATAACGTCAAATAAGGGATGCTTAACGTTGCAATTTGTACTGTCGTGACGTCAGTAAAATGTGCGCGTGCCCTGAATCACGAGAAGAATTATGCACTCTGTAGGCTACAACGCGGCATGAAATATGAACTTCAAAAGCAAGAAATAAAAATATTTGTTACTTTTAATTTTGGTTTTATTTACTCTTTAAACTGAACATTTTCGGGGACCCTGCATAAGTACATCTGGTCTACCCATATAAATGACCTTGTAGCGTAAGTCATTGTTTGTGCAAGTGTTTTATCACTTAATACTTGTACAATAAAACTTGTAGTAATAAAAGTACAGCTAATATGTTTTTAGTATTGCAGTTTTGTCATTGACTATTCTTCCAGACGATTAAGTAAATGTTTTTTTTATGCTTTCATTTTAATGGAGTATTTTGAGGACCAATATAAGATATTCTAAAGTTGTTTTCTTACTGCTGTTACTGCACTATATATGTATTCGTTAAGTCCTAGGATGACAGATGCTAGGTTTTATGAAATGTCCACAAAGTCTTCTCACGTGGAAATACGACCATTCCCGCCTTCGAAAATCCAGTAACTATCTGTCTACGCCACAAGAAATCAACTTAGAACTGAGGAAAGGAAGACAGTGGCTGGAAGTCGGGAATTGCGTCATATAAATTTAATGGACGTCTGCCTGTTCCTTGTAATGAAATGATGGAGTACGTTCATAATGGTACAGGTTCAAAGAGACGCGAACCTCGAGGTTGTAGATCACGTTATCTCGTGCCACGTGATTTATGTCTTTGTGGCGCGTTTCTGGCAAATGTGCCAAGACGAAGCCTCTCGTCCTTGCGTTGTTTATGTTGTATAAACGTGAGTGAGTAATGGATGGTTTAAGGTTTTAATATTTGCATAATGATAACACAAATGACCGACTCCAATGACGTGCACTCCAATTCGGAAACGACATCGTTACGACTTTGTTTGTTTTTTTCTTTTACTACTGATTTTCATAGCTCCGTTCCCATTCACCGAAATTCAAAATTATCCCATAAAGTTTATTTCTATAGAACAAACATCCCAAGTTCGTTGCTCATAAACTCCTGGAATGGCGTTGTTAATCCACTCTTTGAGAAATGTAAAGTTGCAGAATAATGAAACAGGACGTGTGTGGGGGTGGGGGGAGGGTTTCATTCCATCTTGACGTGTGACAAAAACAGAAAAACCACAGCCACGAAATAACTGAATGCAGACCGTTCATTCTAAAAAAAAACCAAAATAAAAATTATATTTGAAATTAGATACAAGTGTCTATATATATATTTTTTGGTACTGCTGTTTAGAATATGCTCCTAGCGAATATACATTTTATTCTCCTCCTTTATTCTTTATTTCCTTTTTTTAGAGGGTCCATGGCTCGCGTCCCGTTTCTGCAAAATCACGCTCCACGCTTCGAGCATGCGGTTACATTATAAGTTCGATTGTCACACAGCTCGAGAGTTTATGTTGACTAGGTGTCTTCTTTCTTTTTCTTCCTATTACTCTTTACCTGTTTTTTTTCCCCTTCCTCTCCTCTCCTTTCCAGTAGATAAGACCTAGTTCTACGTCATCGTAATTCAACTATCCCAATGAAAAGACAGACTCGTTACTTTCATAAGTTAAACTGAAAAGTTTCTTCAAATATGCTTCTTATACTTCCATACTCACACACAAAATATGAACACCGTCTAAAGAAAGACTTGCAGTAAAGGTTTGTTTGTTTTTGAATTTCGCGCAAAGCTACACGAGGGATATCTGCGCTAGCCGTCCCTAATTTAGCAATGTAAAACAAGAGGGAAGGCAGCTAGTCATCACCACCCACAACCGCCAACTCTTGGGCTACTCTTTTACCAACGAATAGTGGGATTGACTGTCACATTATAACGCACCCACGGCTGAAAGGGCGAGCATGTTTGGTGTGACGGGGATTCGAACCCGCGACCCTCAGATTGCGAGTCGAACGTCTTAACCACCTGGCCATGCCGGGCC